GAGACCCAGGTCGTCGCACGCATCTCTGCTTGCCTAGCTGACATCTCTCAGTGGATGTCAGCTCATCACCTCAAGCTCAACCTTGACAAGACTGAACTGCTTTTCCTTCCGGGAAAAGATTGTCCCACTCTTGACCTAACAATAAACATCGGCACCTCTGTTGTTTCCCCGACTCAGACTGCAAGGAATCTGGGTGTGACCCTAGATAACAAACTGTCCTTCACTGCAAACATCGCTGCTACAACCAGCTGCTGCAGATACACTCTTTACAACATCAGGAGGATACGTCCCCTCCTGACCCAGAAAGCGACGAAGGTTCTGGTCCAGGCACTCGTCATCTCACGCCTAGACTACTGCAACTCCCTCCTGGCTGGCCTACCTGCATGTGCCATCCGACCTCTGCAGCTCATCCAGAATGCAACAGCTCGTCTGGTCTTCACCCTTCCTACATTTTCCCACACCACGCCGCTCCTCCGCTCCCTTCACTGGCTTCCAGTAACTGCTAGAATCCACTTCAAGACACTGGTACTTGCATACCATGCTGTGAATGGTTCTGGCCCTTCCTACATCCAGGACATGGTTAAAGCACACACCCCAGCACGTGCAATGTAATGTAATGTTAGCAAAGAGATGTTTCTTCACACAAAGACGTTCATATGAAATAGAAAAGTGCTTAAACCCAAATAGAAAGACTACTTGTTCAGTGTAGTTACACAATACTGCATATATTTGTATTCACTGGTAACATATTTTCAATAAAAAGCAGATGAATTGTATTTACCTTAACCTGTATAAAAGAGAAGATGCCCTTGAATTCTATGTAAAAAGATATATCTTATTTGTCCAGTGTAGTAATATTATCTAGTATGGATTTTGAGTTCCTGGGTCACATGACATATTGAATATGTGCAGATAGACTGACTGTCTGCAAGCACTTATTGCTTGTCTTACATTTTTTTTCAGCATCATTATCTTTAGTAGTTTGTGCACACTGAAACTCAGGCTTTGGGCCTCAGGGCATAATGTAGTACTACTAGAAATCCCTCTTTTGAGACTGCACTTAGTCTTTCTCCTTCCTGTGTGTGTGAGTAAGCATGCATGTAGAGTAAGAAGAGCAAGAAAACAGCAAGGACTCTGCAGTGTGTAACTTAAGGAGCATGTAAATGTTAGCCACTTTAGTGTGTGTGTGTGTGTGTGTGTGTGTGTGTGTGTGTGTGTGTGTGTGTGTGTGTGTGTGTGTGTGTGTGTGTGTGTGTGTGTGTGTGTGTGTGTGTGTGTGTGTGTGTGTGTGTGTAACTGGGCACTGTTAACTTGATTATGTAATGATTACATTATGGTTAAGGTTGTGATAAGGGTGTGCCTGTTAGTAAAGCCAGCGTGGCAGTAATCGTGTGTGTGTGTGTGTGTGTGTGTGTGTGTGTGTGTGTGTGTGTGTGTGTGTGTGTGTGTGTGTGTACTTCTACTACTCATGCTGTGGGGTAAAGTCTTTGGTTTTTTATGTAAGGGTTTGGTTTAGCATGTAGCATTTGTGATTAACTCTATTGAGGATAATTTAAGTAAAGCAATGTCCTCCTGAGTGACAAAAACAAGTTTGTGTATGTATAGTGTGAGTGTTTCAAGAGGACAGCATTAAGGAATGCCTCGGTTTAAAACCTGCCAAGAGCACTTTTCCCATACGCCATGGAGCCAAGACTTCCACAACCAGCCAAGAATAGCACCAGCTCTCTCTCTCTCTCTCTCCCTGTCTGTCTCACCCACACACACACTCAAGCACTCACACTCTCTGCTCTTTGGATTCAACGAGAACGAGAGTGATTGTGTGAAGGAGGGGAGTATAACCTCACACACTTCAATCAGCACAGTGAAGGAGACAGAAAAAAAGGAATATTATAGAAACATGATTTGGAAGCATTGTAGTTATGCCAATAAGGCACATTGAGAAGATAGAAAAACATAGAAATCCTACGTTCGGATCAAATTCATAATAATCGCCGACACGCTTTTAGAAATCAAAATTCACGCTTAAAAGCTTTGATGAAATAAACTGAAATGACCCCAGATGCAAATTATGGTAGCGAAACAGAGCAAGCAAGTGAGAGATGAAGACAGACAGGGGAACTGCAGCAATCTCCGAACACCCTGCTCCCTGTGGGCTAAATGAGAGTGCTCAGTCTGTGTGTGTTTGTGTTAGTGCATATGCATGTGTTTGTTTGAGTTCATGTAAACAAGCTTGTCTGTTTAAGACAAGGACCAGAGTGCACTCCCTTCTCTCATTCAGAGGCACCAAATGCTGAGGTGAGAAGACAACAGGCAGCAACATGGTTTCCACTCTAAAAGCATTCACACAGTTTTATCTCAAAGAACAATGTCCTTTTTCCAAAATGTTTATCTTTAAAGCTGGTTAATAGCAGTGTGTAAATACGACTGACAAGTGTTGGGCAGATCTGATCAAACCAACCAATCAAATAATCCTAAATTTCACCCTGATACTCATCATAATGCAACAAATTAATTAAGCAATTACATGGATGTCAGTGACTTTAGATTTGTGTACAGTTGAGTTTGTTGCTCATAACACTCAGCACATATAACTCTTTAATGTCTGCACTGTTGATGCCTGGACTGAGGAATAATGAAATGTTTTTAATTAGTTTGCGATGCACATTACGAGCCTATAGCTGGACAGATCAGTGCTGCCTTGAGACTCAACCTGCCAATTAGTATCCTGACACTCAAGTGAAGTCCAACATTAATCTCCCACTCTGCGTGCAGACTCTGCTGGAGGTTGCTTAGTGTTTGTTATTAAAGTCACCCATGTCCATTGTTTATTGCTCACGACAGCAGTAAACAGGCACGCAGAGTATCCCTCAGGGAACGAGGAGTGGAAAATAACACTCATCTTCTCCAAACAGGCGAGGCAATCTGAGAGGAAAGAGCTTGGAAAAAACTTTGCTTGAATGTTTGTTCCTATTGATTTTCGCTGGAAGAATGCCTTATAGCGAGTAGAGAGACTATCCATCAACGAAATAACCCGAGTTAAAATCCTTGAACTCGACGATTTGCTCTGCAGAAATGTTTGCAGGCAAGATAATCGCCGGCAGCTCTAAAAGGTGCTTTTCTGCAGCTGACCCTACGATCTTACTTCCCTCTGGAAAGAGAGAAGTGAAAAGAAAATGTCTCCTCTGGGACTCAATATTACCACAAAGAAAGAGAGAATGCTATTTTGCTGTAAGTACTTTTGAGAATAGTTGTGTGCTTCTCAGAATGGCAGATTTGTGTACCGGTATATAGAAATAAATCAATGAACATTCAAAGACATCACATACCCAAACATATACTGTACATAAGATAAGTACTGAATATAAACAAAGCAATAAACTATAAAACACACCCCCCCCACCACTTCCTCGGGCCTTACAGAGACATTATTAATAGGGTGTTTTTCGCACTCTCAGCACTGCCAGTAAGGCTTCTCTTCCCGCTGGAGGATCCCTCACTGACTGATACCTGAAGGTGTTATGTATGAAAATATATTTCTGTTCCAACAGAGAGCTCACATGGACAAACACGTAGTCACTAGGCAGCAAAGCATTCCCTTTCCTAAAGTTGCCTCTCCTCCAATAACAGCACAGCAGGAACACCCTCATCTAGCTGAGGCCCTCTAGCGTCATCTCAGAAAGTGTAAGATAAGAGTAGAGATAGTTGCAGCACACTGATGTTAACTTGCAATGAGATGTAATAGAAACACAATGTCTCGGTGCTGTAGACCTTTATGATGTGTAGCACAGTGCTTCAGTGCCAAATCTGTATTATTATGAGTACAATAATGCAAATAAAAATAAACGAAAGTGTGTGCGAACTCTCTCTTCTGTTTCCTTTAGCCTTTCCCTCCTACGCACATGTGTACAAGAAATTGAAGGTGTTTATCAGCCTTCACAGTCCAGCAACTGAAACGTGCCTTCTTACCTTTCTGACTGTTTGATGCTGTGAGAAAGTGAATCAAACCTACTATTTGGTAAACACATTATATTTCATGACAGAGAAGGAGGATTAGGAGAGCCATTTATTTGAACAGAGCCATATATTTACGATGAGCTCTGGATTAAAGCAATAGAGAGGAAACTGTGAGCTGTCCATGTGATGAGCTGCCACGTCTCTCACATTAAAATAAAATGCGCTTTACTTAACACGCATCTGGAATGTGACCAGGGCGATACGTTTTTTAAGCAAAGCTCTTGGCTAAGAGGAAAACACGGGGTCATAAAGTCCTTGACGTCAGATCTTATAACATCAAATTAAACATGGCCATCCGACTAGCAGCTTTTAGGTTGTAATAGCAACATGGTGGCAGTTTGTCAGCAATGATTCAACAGTCAGCAGTGAACCTCTGTCCTCAAGCTTGAAAATCACAACATCAACATAAGCTCAACTAAGATTAAGATATATGTCTATCTATTCATAAAACCATCTCAAATCTGAATTTACTTATATGAAAAGTAGGGATATGTGTGACAATCTCACCTCATTCAACTCCTCCAGACCCCCCTGGTTTGTCAGCAGGTGGTAAAGCCCATGGAGAGGGTTCCAGACTTTCCCAGAATGCAGTGTGTTGACTCAGGGACTCAGCACTCCCTGGTGGATGACAACAACAGCAAGAGTTAACACTAAAGTAGGAAAAGAACAGAATATAACATGATAGAGAAAAATAATACAGCTTACTCCTAGAAAGCAGAAAAAATATCACTGTGCATCCTATAGTGATAGTAAACATATATAAATAAAGGCTTTCCATGAAATTCATATTTTACTTTTATTATTCAGCATTTTGTCCCGTTTTGAGCAAATTAAATAACTAATTTGTGTGTGGGACAGTGAGGAAGGGAGATTAAGCGAAGAGACAGAAACAGATGATTTAAGATTTGGGGGTGTTATTGGTTCTATTTAGTTTATTATAATTATGATTGAATTCCACCGTTATCGTCAATACTAGTACTGTATATCTCCAGAGCTCAGATTCAAATAGTGCAGAACACCACTTACATGTACATCGCTATTAATATTGCGCAAGTCAAAACTTGAATGGAATGGGTTACAGCTTAAGTGTACAAGAAAGTCTTTGAGACATTGATTGAAATACCAATGAAAACCCACATAGATATCAATTCTTCACAGGCTTTTAACATTTCTGCCAATCCTTTCCTTTCAATACCTTTGCTTAAGCCCTAGAAACCCTCCTCTTGTTTGACATTCTCACTGTGCCTTTTTTTCATTCTGTATCTTTAATCATACGGCGGAATGTTTTACCGTTTTAAAAACTGCAATGCAAATGCAGGTCATCATTATAAACAGGACCCATCATTTTCATTGGGGGAAAAAAAAACCTCAAGTGCATCTCTAAAGACATCAAATGTGCAACAAGCTACTTAAGCAGACACCCACACACCGGCATAAGAGACAGACTGGCTGATCGTCGACACTCTGTGGGACTAATTAGGCAGGTTGTGGTGGAATGATGGGGATGTTACGGAGAAACGAGAGACATGTTGCCTGCTGTTAATCAGCCGCAGTGTGTATGTGTGTGTGGGACGTCACACATCCTACTGACCCACTTCTTACATGTTTCATGACAAGGAATGAGGTGGGTGGGAGCATGTTTGTGTCGCTGTCCAGCTGTGGACATGTGTTTTGCAGTTATACCGAGGGAGGAATTACAACATGTGTTTGTGGTACATAAGTAATGGCAAGATATCTCATGGTATGCATGATGACTCTATTCTACAGGGGATTAAGAGATACGGGGGAAATGTGATATTATAATGGCACAGTGATGCATAATGAGAGAAAGAAACAGAAGTGTGGTGCAGCAGACATTGTAAAATCAATATCCCCAGTGGGCTATAGTACAGTGTCAGGTTTAAATTAAGCATGTAAGCACACAAACCATAAGCTGCAGGCTCACAGGGTTTGTTGTGCCCTAAAGTTGTTTGTGATGTGTGTATGTAAAGCAGAAAAATGATATGTAATGAGGCTATGGATTACCACTGGCAAAGGAGGCTATCATGTGGTGTTAAAAAGACAAGGCAGAATGAGGGATGGAGATCAGAGAGAGGAAAAGAAGAGAGAGAAACAACAAAGGTTAAAGGAAAGGAGAAAGGTAGGAATAATCCAGAGGAAGACAGATGGAGAGAATACAATGGATGAAGAGGTAAAGCAGACAGAGAGGAAGAGAAAGGCGATGGAGAAAGAGAGGTAGAGACAGATGGTGGCAGAGAAAAGGCAGATAGATACTCACTGGGTGGACAACACTGGCACAGCCAGCGACGCACAGCGGGGGGGATGGAAAGCTGAACAATTTCAGCTTAAAAGAGAGAAGGACGAAAGTGAGAGGGAGGGCAGAGGAGAACTCTTTAGGAAAAATACTACGATAGTTGAGTCTTTAAAGATGCCAAGTTTAAATATATTGTATCACCTAGTATGGCCTAAGCACAACCAAGGGATTACCTGGTAAGTAATTGTATTTAAAAGAAACTAAATAACTAAAGCTAAAAAAACTAAAACTAAAATGCCGTTAAATAAACTATATACGGCAAATGAAAAAACTCCAACATTTTACAAGGCAGTGCCAGGGTCTTATACGACTATAAGAAGGCAACTATAGACACTTTGTCCCAATCAATCATGTCCAATACAGGAATGAAGCGGGCTAAATTAGTCAGAAATAGCTCAGTCTAAACCACATTAAATGAACAACTGATTGAATTGCAGAGCACCTGTAGGGAACTGTGTGTGTGTGTGTGTGTGTGTGTGTGTGTGTGTGTGTGTGTGTGTGTGTGTGTGTGTGTGTGTGTGTGTGTGTGTGTGTGTGTGTGTGTGTGTGTGTGTGTGTGTGTGTGTGTGTGTGTGTGTGTGTGTGTGTGTGTGTGTGTGTGTGTGTGTGTGTGTGTGTGTGTGGCAGACATGTGTGCTATCAGGTTTTTCTCTGAGAATACCTACTACACATCAATGCATTAGATTTGATTAGCAGACGCTTTTGTGACTTACACTAAGTGCATTCAACCTCCCAACTAACAGCTAACAGCAGGTTCAGTGCTACAGTACAAGTACATAATTGCACATCTACAGCATTCACTCATTGAAACACACGGATCCAAATACATGTTTAATACATGTCTAGACATCTACCTGACCCTGTCATCAAGAGAAACTCAAAATGAGTTCACGGGGAAGGTTGGCCAGTACAGCTGATTGTTAGAAGGACACAGTGTTCAAGTGGAGGAATGGGTGCTTTAGACTCTTTAGAAAGGATAAAAGCGCAATCTTTTATGTGCATCTACAGCTATTTTATCACACAGCGGGTGAAAGAGTGCACCATTTTCTGTCATTTAAATGTCTAGATCTAGATCAAAAGGCGATAATTTCAACATGCCTAACTAGTGTTCTCTTTGTGAGTGTTTGTGTACTTGACTTTATGCTGGCGTGATTGCACCATGAATGCTTTTGTCCACTCAACCATCACTTCATCTGTGTAAGTGCTCGCATTCTTCCCATTCTCTCTTCAACAAGTGTAGTCAAAAGAATGTTGTCCACCCACAATTGCCATAGCGGTGGCCAAACTCTTTGCCTACTGTACAAGTTTTGCCTAACAGTGCAATCTTTTTTTTAAATCTTTGCGACCACAAGTACTGGGTTGAAATGCAAACATCAGCAACATATTTACTGCCTCTGAAGGGCGCACAAAATAAATGACAAATATGAGGTTACAGTAAAAGTGAGTACTAATTATGAATACGTTTGCTTTCTTTAAATTATTTAGAGAGGTGCGAGTACATCTCAAATGCTCAATTTCTTTTTCTACTTGCTTAGACAAGTCCTGGAGTACACAGTTCATCATTCATTACAAATATGACAGACAATCACACACACACACACACACACACACACACACACACACACACACACACACACACACACACACACACACACACACACACACACACACACACATAAGCGGAATACTTTGGGAGCTGACGTAGTGTCTGACAGCTGTTTGGTTGGATGAGGCAGAAGAATGCTGAGTCTTTCTGTCCGTGTAGACTGAGCGACTGACCATCAGTGTAGTCAGTGTAAAGGAAATGCCTCAACCACAACCTCATTTTCCTGGACTGCAACATATCTGCCATACCAAGAGAGGAATCAGCCCTCTGAAGGTTCAAGGTGCTCAAAGCAGGGAGGAATTTTATCTTGGGTGCACACATGTCTGGAAAGACCAGTGTCCTTTTCTTACCGCCATACTTTATCTACCGTCCCAGACTCTTTTGCTAGTGCTGGTGGAAGTGTGTACGTGGCAGCTGTGTGAGTTTCAGTTCCAAAGCACAAGTTCCTGTTGCTGACCTGAACCATTTTCAATATTCAAGTTTATGATGCGCTGCTGGAAGGAAGGAAAGAAGATCACAAGCCACATACAAATCATTCAGACAGACAAACATAAAAGAAAGGTCAGCATTTCCAGGTTTATAATACTGTCTCTCTTTATCCCTCCACTTTACTCTTCCAAATCACCATTTATAGCCATCCTCAAATCTGAAGCTCATGTCAGTGACAATCTGGGATATTTGCACATCAAACCAGACAGTAAGAAGTAAAGGTTGCTACTACAAACTGAGAGGGATCTACAGCCCACTGCTACACTTCATAATATCTTACTGATGGAGGTCAGACTTCTCTCCCACTCTCTTAAATGAGAACTGACCTAATTTACTATGTTTTCTCTGTGGCTTAAGTGACTGAGAAGATTCAAGCCACAGGCATGAACTGTTTTAATGTGTACAACGACCTTGTCTACATCTGTTTTAACTAACAGCTTGTCTGCATTCTAAGCTGTCATTTCTTGTGTCTTGTGAGCCAAAAAGAAGACATTCTTCAATGTTTTGATAACACAAAGCATTGACCTTCAGAGGGGAAAAGAGTATACAGTAGCTGTGAAGTGATGTGTACCATTAAATTGAGCAACTGATTTAATTAGCTTAATAAACTTAAAGTGGACCTATCATGCTATATTTGAATAATATAGTGTAGGACCATACCTATATAAGGCATATTTATACTTTTTATTTTTCAAAATACCAAACAGATCATGCATTTTAGACATTCCTCATTTCACTCAATTTAACACTGTCTTTTGATGGGCTGATTCTGTGAGAACAGCACCATCTACAGGCCTGGCATATGTACTACAGCGTCTTCAGCGCTTTCGAACAGCAATGTCCATGGCTGTCTCCTCCTGATTGGTGGAGTTGGCCCAATAGCCGTAGCGCCACTTCTGTGACGTCATAGAAGTGTTCAAATCTGGATCAGTCTGTATCAGATCCGTTGCAGCCCCTTTTTAAGAGATTTGGGTATGGAGGAAAATAGAGAGGGTTGTGTTTTCTGACACTTGGTGAGTTCCCTGGAACACCGGGGACACATATTCATGTATAAAAGATGTACAAAAGTGCATTTTGCATGATAGGTCACCTTTAAAAAAACATAGAATTGGCAATGATGAAAACAGCTATTTTCTAAATTAAGAAAACAATGTATTCTTGCAAGTTAGTTTTCGTTGTATTTCTGTCCCTCAAATTTAACCTACAGCT